CGATCACTGATACACAAATGAGTGCTTCATGTGCCGGGAAAGCGGTGGAGGAGGAGGCATTTTTCTTGACCAATGTAAGTGCGTTGCGCACACACATCTGTCATAGCTCGAGCAGCGACGAGGAAACGTGGCGGTGTCGAATCAGCTCTTTCGGTGTTTCGTGCCTTTTGACTTGAAGGTGAGCTTGTCCATGGCTACATCAAGTTGTCGAATACGTCAAGATCTGCCCCTTTGTGATGAGCACTGCAGTGGTCAGCCACATGTCCTGGATGATGAAGCCCTGAAGGCGGGCATAGAAGAGGACAACAGCCAGACCTGTGGTAGGCTTGCTGAACGCTTCCAGATTTCTGATGAAACAGTCACACTTCACTAGCACTGTATAAAGAAGGTGTACGAGTTTAGCTAGTGAGTGTCCAACACATTGTCGGAGACCAACAAGCAACAGCGTTTGACAGCCTGTTTCTCGCTGCTTTCTCGTCAGTGCAATGTAGCCATATTGCGGCAGACACTCACAGACTTCTTTGTGTCCAAGACACATGATTTATCCCCATCATGGCTTTGCACAGCTGGAGGCATGTTGACAAAATATTCTGGGTGCCGATGGGGAAATCTCTGATGAATAACGGTATGTCAAATTTGCTGTAAACCTTTTACTAATAAATAAAAAACGGCAGAGCGTTTTTTGCTACCGTATATATATATATATATATATATATATATATATATATATATATATATATATATATATATAGTGCTGTTCGATAAAAGTGACTCACCTGATTTTTTTACTAAAAATAATTTTTGTCTATTATTTTGGGGGTTAAAATAATTTTTAATCTTACTAATATAAAGACCCCTTTCCGACCACTTAGGAGAAAAGTTTATTCATCCTAAGGTATTCTATTGATAATTATAAATTTGGATATAAATGAGATTCAGGAAAAAACTCTGTGCCAAAAAAGTGACTCATATATCGCATTCTAATGATTAAACTGGCAAATTTAAAGAGCTTTTTGACAAAATATTGAAAACTATTTTACAATACACTCAGAACAATATTCTAGAGAATTCTAGAACAGCTTAAATTAAATCTAGAGTATTCCAGAATATTCCAGAAAGCCTCATACAGTATAAAAACAGCTTGAAATAGTCACTCAAGTCACTAACCAGATGAAAGGGTATAAACACGCATCAGAACCCCTTAAGGCATTTATCATTGCCATCTCAAAATCAGGCAAGTCTACGAGAGAAATTGCAGAAATTGCTATAACCTCGCAATCAACTGTCTCACGAGTGCTTAGGGTATATAATGATGCCACTCCTGCTCCAAGGAAGGAAACAAGGGGACGAAAGAAAAAGATTGATGATAGAACTGGCTGGGTAATCAAGAGAGGTTGCGAAGAATAGGACTATAACTAGCCAAGACATTGCAGTCTAAGCGAAGAGCAAGGTGTTAATCTTGCCTCTTCAACAGTCCGTCAAAAAAAGGTTACAAATCTTGTTAAAACAAGGCTACAAATCTTGTACACGAAGGCTTAAGCCCCTAATAAGCAAAGCCAACAAAGCCAAGAGACTTGAATTGGGCTCACTATTACAAAAATATCACCGTAGAAGACTTGAAGACTGTTTCTCTTTTCCGACGAAACGAAAGTTGAGCTAAATTCAAATGATAAGTTGAGTCACTTTTATCGAACAGCATATCGAACGTATATATGTAACCGCCATCCCGGATTTTTTAAACGTGGCCATTCCTTTCGAAATCCTACATACAGGCCCATGATCTGTTTTACAATTAAATGAAAATAGATCTATATAATAAATGCTAATGTCAGTGTATCACTGTGTCACAACATTTCTGCAACATTACTCCTAGAGACCTTACTCAAACATATACTATTTTTCAATCAAGATAAGTCCATGGGCAAATTAAAAACATTCCGGCCGGAATCCAGACCCGCAATCCTGAAACTGATTCTCAAGTTTTCATTATTGCGTTTGTTTTCGACGATTTCTTACGTGATTTTTTTGCGACAAGTTATTTTATACAATAATAATTTTCATAACTTTGGGAATAATAAAAATTAATTGCGAAATCCAGCGAAATTCACCCATGAAATAAAAATAAATGTTTGTACTGGAAAGTAAGGACCTACGTACATCAAATTTTCTTTAAATTATGTGAGGCAGAAGAATTATCGTTGAACTTTTAAAAGGAAAGCTTAAATATTAATGCAATACCTAAATGCAGCGATCAAGTTATTATTGCTGCTATATATGGTCTGGTGCGCCTGCTATATATTAAGAGATTCTTGATAAAATCCAAAGAAGAATATGCAATGTTACTGGTCCTGACCTTGTACCTCGGTTTCAGTAACTTTATCACTGCCGTAAAATAGCTTCCCTGTGACTTTTTCTATAAATATCTCATGGTAATAGTTCTGATAAGATTTAATCTTTGGTGCCTAGACTTTACAAATTTAAACGTACTACTAGATTGGTGGCAAGTTCTCATCATGTTACAAATGGCGATATGTAACCGTAAGTTCTATGCTAAAAGTTTCTTATCTCGCCTTTCTCGCTTCTGGAAATTTATCCGGCTTCTTGCTTTCCAGTCAAGTTTGATCTTCAAAGATTTAAATGCAATGTCAATCGTTATCTGCTGTTTTCTTAATTAAAGTCTTTTGTATTTATTGCTCTCTGTTGTATTTATTGTTAATAGAGTTTTTCTTTTTTTTTTTTCATATTCTCTAATACTCGGTATCACCCTTGCATCTTAACGGCGTTATTGCCTTCGATCGGGTGAAACGATTTAAAATATCTGATAGGAGATTGTCCAACATTCACTGTCATATAAGAGGACCGATATTAAATGACAACTCAGTACTGTTTTCTTTGAATTTAATGTATTTTCCTGTTTAATAATAGATTGTTTAGCTTTTGATAGGTATCGTTCGCTAATGCAATGTACGTTTGGATTGCGGTGTCACATTTTCATCCGCTGTTAAGACATGTCCTGGATATTTAAATTAGATTTTATTGTCTCCATTTCATAGTTCACATCTTGTGCTGTTATTTTGCTCACAGCATTGCATTCCGTTTTACAATTCACGCTCCGATTCGGTTAAAATTAAACCAACACTTCTATGTAAATTTCCCCTTTTCGTCCATTTTAGTTAGGATCTCTAAAACCGCCTAAAGAAGGTAGTGGAGGAGAACGAAACAAAAGTGACTAAGCATAAACAATAAGAAGACAGAATGCTTGGTCACCAGCTAAAAGATGACACGAAAAGCGATTTACATGACGGGGACTCTAAAATCAAGCAGATGCTAAAAATTAAACATCTGGGAATTGTTCTGACAGAGAAAGGTAAGCGCGACGCGGAGGTCCGAAGTCGTGTTGGTATGAACAAAGCATAATATTACGAGACAGCAGGATTTTGCTGGTAACAAAGAGTGCTGAACCGTTACGTGATATCTGTCCTGCTTTACGGCAGTGAATGTTGGATGGTCTCGTCAAAGGTGCAGAAGACACTCGATGCAGCAGAGGTGTGGTTCTACAGAAGGATGCTAAGGATACCATTGACCGAACATTTGAGCAACGATGAAATTTTGGAGATGATGCAAACAAAAATGAAAATCGCCAGGAAGAGGCAGCTGAAATTTCTGGGTCACGTAATAAGGAACGGGGGGTGAAAAGGGGGTGAAGAAGGGGGATCTGAAAAGAAAAGAGTGCTGAACCACTACGTGATATCTGTCCTGCTTTACGGCAGCGACGGTCTCCTCAAATGTGCGAAAGAGAACGAGAAATAGTTACTAAGCATGCAATCTTCTGTATTCTTAATTCCATTTCTTTATTGTTCTCTGTTATTAATAATGTTTTCATTTTCTCGTATTGTATTTTCTCGTATTGAAGAGAGATCCCCAAGTGAGAAGTGCGAGAAACTATTAGAATATAATTTATGATTACATCTGGCTATTTCAACAGTAAAACAATAAGACCTAGTTGCCAATCTAGTAGTAAACTTAAATTTATAAGGTAACCTCGTTAGAACAACGGCCATGAAAATATTTATAATAAAGAAGCCATTTATATTCATAAAAAATGTTTTGAGTTTTTTGGTGAGAAAAATGTTGCAAATTTTTTCAGATCACCCTAATGTCATATTGTTATTAAACTTTTTCATTCTCTCTCTTACTTGAAATCAGACTGGGTTTGCATTATTTTTCTCAATCCGTTTTTGTCACTCAGTATGTTTGTGTGTATGTGTGTGTGCGTGTGGGTGTGTGTATGTGTTGGTGCGCGCTCATTTTTTCCTGTTGTCTATTATTTAGCCGTCTTCGGCTTATCTGTGTGTGCATATTATATTCTACTTTTCGTAATATTCTACCTACAAAATTCTCGCTTTTTATTCGGTAAATGCTCACAACATCCATATTCACTACTTCACTATCTTTCTTGTCATACCTTTTTTTTTTTCATTACCGTTATTATTTCGTTGAAACTTTTCTTCAGCATTTCTTATTTTTCATTCAGCTTATTTCGCTTCCCACCAGTTTTTTTTCCGTCTATTAGTTTCTCGTTCAAAGGATCAAATATCCTACAAGTTGACAACTAAAAATAGAAAGAAAATGCAGAAAAGTCAAAACAAACAAATGACTAAACAAAAGACTACAATGAAAAATAGATTTTCAAAGAGATAGAAAGAAAGAAAAAGAATAAATAAAAGAAATTATTTCCTTGAAATATTTTTTACTTAATATTTGTTATATTTCATTCATTTCCTTTTTCTTTCTCTTCGATTAATTTCCCTCTAATTTTCTTTCTTTTTCTCGTTCAAATATCCTTTATGTTGACCACTAAAACAGAAAGAAAACTTTTGAAGAAACAAATACAGAAAGATGAACGAAATATAAAAAAAATAGAATGAAAAATAGATGTTTAAAGAGAAAGACAAAATAAAAAATTATGAATGAAAGATGGTAAGAAAAAGAAAGCTAAAATGAATTATTTTCTTGAAACATTTTTTTCAGTTATTATTTATTATATTTCATTCAACATCTTTCCTTTCTCTTCGGTTAATTGTCCACCATTTTCTTTCTTTTTATCATTCATGTGTGCTTCAGTTTCCTTTCTTCTCAATTTTGTTTTTTCTCTCATGTTTGTCGTTTCTATATTTTGTCATTCTAATAATTTGCCTTTCCCTCCATTTTTCTTTTTTTTTTTTCTCGTTCCAAATATGCTTTCGTTGCGTTTTCGTATTCTGTGTTTATCTTTTTCCTTCATTTATTTTCGGTTTTTTACTTATTTTCCATAAAATTAATATTATTTTCCTGTCCTATTTTTACTTATTTCTTGCCTTTTAGTTTCTTCTTTTATTCTGTCTTCTCCCTCTATTTGTCATTCATTATTTTTTTTTTCTCTTTTGTTTGTCTTCTGTGTTTTATTTTTCTTTCTTTCTCTATTTGTTCGATTTTTCTTGCTGGCTTTTATTTTTTTCATCTGATTCATTCCTCCTTTGTTCTTTCTTATTTTCATTTCTGTTTTGCTTCATTCTATTCTTGTCAATTTCACCAGTTTTATTCATTTATTCACTTTATTCTTGGAATTTCTTTTTATCTCACTTGAATTTTCATGTCTGCTTCTTAATGTCTTTTCCTTTTACTTCCCACATTCAGCATTTCTTGTTCTTTTTCTTTTTTTTTTTTTTTGCAGGTGTAATTCTTCGGCTGTAAAAGAAACAAACCGCGAATTCTTGTTTATTAGAAAAGCAAAACGGTATTATTGCCATCGCATTACGCCCAACATGGCTATTTTCTCGCGTCCGTTTCGACAAAATACACTCGCTCAACTACCTTAAGACTTACATCGAAATTTTTATCCTGCTACAATTTTCCCACTGTTTTTTCTCTGTGCATGCGATTATATATGTTGCTAAGTACTTACTTTATTTATATTTGCCTGTATTTTTTTTCTGTGCAAACCTGTGTCTGCATGTTTTTAGTAGGATGGTTTTACATTTTTCTGCGTAAGGTTTTTTTTTTCTTGATATAATTTCTTGTGTGTCTGTACTTATGCGTCAAGAACAACGTTCATGTTGATGCGTAAGATTTCAGGGACTTATTTCTTTTTCATATGTATGCGCCTTTTTATGTAAACACATAACGTTAGTGTTAATAAATAAAAGTAGCTTTTCCAATGTATATGCCTGCATGTTCTGAGATAAGACTATGCGTGTAAAGGTTTGACCAAATATGTTTTGAAGTAAGAAAAGTAATGTGTTTTCAAGCAAGCTGACGTTTCTGTAAATATAAGGTGGTAGTTTGATTCTTTTTTCTTTTCTTTTTTTTTAATCAACATTGAAGAAACAGGCATATATGTGAAATTAAAGAAAGCATAAACAAAAGTGTAGAAAGAAAGACAAGCGGGAGGAAAGACAGAAAGGGGGGCCGGAAGAAAATTGTAGAAAGTATGAAAAGAACAAAAAGAGGAGGAAGGATTGCGTACAGGTTAGAGAACGAAAAAATGTTTTGAAGAATGATCAGAAAAATAAAAAAAAATATGATCAAGAAAGAAAAAAAACAAGATGAAAGAAACGAGTAGAATGAAAATTAGATTTTAAAAAAGAAAGAAAATAAAATGAATACAAACACTAGAATGAAAATTACATTTTACAAAACGAAAAAAGAAAGACAGAAAATAGGAAAAATGAAAAAATAAGAAAGAAGAATTAAGAAATATAAGAACATGAATGAAAAGTAGATATTAATAAAGAAAGAAAGAGAAAAGAAAGAACAAATATGAGAGATGGAAGGAATATACGGATCTGAATGAAAACCAGATTAAAAAAGAAAGAAAAAGTAAGAAAGAAGAAGGATGTAAGAAATATAAGACTCGAATAAAAAGTAAATCTTGAAGAGACAAAAAAGAAAGTTGATGAAAACAATGTAAAGACGAATGAAAATTAGATTTTTAAAAAGAAAAGGAAGATGTAATATACGAACTAGAATTAAAAATACATTTTGAAAATAAATAAAGAAAGAATTATACATATTATACATATATTTATAAGAATGTCAAAAATTATACATACATATATATATATATATATATATATATATATATATATATATATAAAAATTCTTTTTCTGTATATATATATATATATATATATATATATATATATTATTGCCCCATGAGCTGGAAAAACCAGCGAAACTTAAGTCGGACACCTGAATGTAGGTATATGTATATGTATATTTATTAATATATATCATTGCCCCGTTTAACCACACATCGAGCACCTCATGAATAAATTTGATGATTATTTATTTACTTACCTGTGTATGCGCGCCAACTCACGCGTATACGGTTGTTTATATCTTGTTGTTTGATTTATCTAACTCTATACCCATATCTATCTATCTATCTATCTATCTATCTATCTATCTATCTATCTATCTATCTATATATATATATATATAATATATATATATATATATATATATATATATATATATACTCCAAAATTCGCTTGAGGATGAAATGGAACTAATGTCTTTAATTTAATTACAAAATTAAATTCGTATTTTTTAGCTTCCATTTTTGAAACATAGTTAGAACTGTGTAAAAAAAAATACTATATTTTAAATCAATTAATTTATAATATTAATGCTCTGTAAATTTACATCGAGCACTATTTTGTAAAATAAAAATATCTATAAGAACACCGGATTATATATCTTACTGTTCTTTTCTTTATATATATATATATATATATATATATATATATATATATATATATTATTTGCTTTTTATTCATCCAACCAAATATATTCATCTTTCTTGATATTGTCCTTTTTAGCGCTTAATACCTTATAATATAATATGTAAATAATTTATTTTTATTTATATATATATATTTATTTATATATATATATATATATATATTTATATATATATATATATATATATATATATATATATATATATTTGTAGCTCCATTTTACTTCGGGATTCAGCCGCTCGAAGCCTTTTTTTTAATTTTTGATATGTAAAACGGTTTTATATAGTTGATATTGAGCCATTTTTTTTCGGTCTTTCAAGTTCTCTCTGTAACAAGAAATCCTATATTGTTTTATCAAAATGAAATCGAAATAGATTACGTAAAACTGTTTGATTCGTTTCGGGAACAGATCTCTTTTTGAATTGTTATGAAAACTAGAACTATTTAGAATGACTCTTAGATTAATGCAAAACTTATAACGAGTGAAAACTGTCTGCATACTGATAGAAAATATACTGAAATTCTAAAAATAGGAATGGACGGAAGATGTTTATGTTTCTTCTCACCGTATTATAGATGTCAAAAAGAAATTAGTGCAGAAGTTTAAATATCTGGGGAGTGTTTTGACAGAGGGTGGAAAATGTGACACCGAAATCCGAAGTCTCATCGAAATAGCGTAGATACCTTCCAAAAACTAAGTGCTAGGAAACAGCAGAACTTCTTTAGTAACAAGTAAAACCAGTTCTCCTAATTGGACAATTACCTCACAGAGTAAGTGAAGAATTCTTCTTCTTGACTTGTCTTGATGCGGCATTCACCCTGGGCGGATTGAGCCGGCTTCTTCCTGTTGACGCACCGCATCACGGACCATTGCTGCCCACGCTCGTCGGTCTGTCGCGAGGTCGCACGAGATGGTAAGCCAGTCGCGGTTCCAGCGGCGGAGGCCGACCACTTGCGGGCCGGAAAGTAGCGCCAGATCCTCCTTGATCGTTGAGGCCCACGTCTTCAGCTGTCTGCCTATCCGCTTCCGCCAGGTGGACGACGGTGTGGGAAGGAGAACGTCCCGTATCAGCTCCCCTCTCGACCGGCGCGCAGTGTGTCCGAACCATCGCAGACGCCGTTGAAGAAGGACTGCGGGCAGAAGGATCGGCTGTGGTTGCATCCGGACAAGGAGTGCTTTGAAGTGGAACGTCGGATAGGCGCAGCGAGATCTGCTTTCGCCCGTCTCCAGCGCTGCCTGTGGAACCGGAGAGATCTCGGCCACCACGAAAGGGCGGATCTTCCAGGCGATCATTCGCTCTATCCTCCTATATGGGTGAAACCTGGCCGCTCAGGGTGGTTGACCAGCGCAAACTGGAGGTGTTTGACAACGACTGCCTCCGTCGCATCCTGCACTGCCGACGCGTCGACTGGGTCCCTACCACCGAGCTCTGCCGCCGCCTCAGTCTACGCCCTCTAAGTGAAGAATTGATGCAACGTGAATCTGCTTCCGCAGAAGAATCCTTGAAGGAAGAGCGTTTTTTCTTGGAAAATGGAAACAAAAAGAGAACTTAGAATAAAAAATAACGAATCCTGGTCAAACATCCCGGTTTCGGTCACTTTCGCACCGACGTGACATGGCTTCCCTCCATCATTTTTACAAATATTTCCATGTCAACTGGTCTGACGATCTTTTACCCCTGGTGACCCGAATACATGAATTTAAGCGTACTACTAGATTGCCATCAAGATCCCACCTATTTACTGTTGAAAGAGATAAATGCAACCGCCATTTCTACCCCGACTGTCGCTATTCTTTCCTGACAACTACAATCTTCAAAAATTTAAATGCAACATCAATCGCCATCTCCCGTTCATCTTTTGTCCTTTCCTCAATTCTCTCTATTCTCAGTCCCCTCCTTCAATTCCCGCCTTGCTTGGGGTGAAATGATTTTTTTAAAAAAAAAGATAAGAATAAGAAAGTAGCAACATAAATTTTTGTGCATATAACGAGGAAAGAAGGTTTGTAGAATTGTACACTCACAGGACATCGAAAGCAGAGAGAACTGTTGGCGTCAGAAGCCCACCTAACTCGAGAGCTTATGCGAGTGTATGGCAGGACAGACAACGGGAGGAGGTGGTTAAAAAACATATATTACTTTAAGATACAAAGGATAAGATGCTGTTGAAAACAATGATCGCCCACAATTCAGTGGCGTAGCTAGAGTAAACGTCACCCGGGGCGGTTCGCTCAAATGTCACCCCAATGACCCCGATTCACCCTATGCTGAATGGTTAGCTGTAGCTAAATTTTCATACATGCTCTACCTCTACTTTACTCTACTGACCGGTACGTTACTGTTTACATGTATGATCCAAGACAAAATCCAATACCACAAAATAATCAGTTCAAATCAAAAGCTGAAAACATTGCTGTTTTTCCTACTCACAAATTTCCCGACAATTTATTAGAAAGTTTCTGACGGGGGGACAAAACTGGGGGGTCATAAATTATTTCTGGTGGGTCATATGCCAGGCTGCGAAACCCTGTGACTCCACCACTGTTTTCAGACTATTTTTGGCACCTTAGCCTGGTTGAAAAATTCTGTTGGGGGTGACATTGTATCACCCCTCCTGTGCTGGCACCCGGGGCGGTCCTACCCCCTTAGCTACGCCACTAGCCCACATCCTGAATGGGCACGACACATAGAAGAAGAAGAACAACGACGATGACTTAAGCTATTTCTCGCCATCTCCCTCTTTCTTTCTTTCTTTCTTTCTTTCTTTCTTTCTTTCTTTCTCCCCCTATGTGCTATGACCCCCTAGGACATAGACGATCATAGCTCTGCGCAATTTCTTATCT